AACCACTTATGTATTGGCCCATTTGCAAGGTCACAAACCATTGTAACATCTAAGATGTTTTCACCTGCCCAGAGCCAATTTTCACTCCTCTTGAATGGACGGCTTAGAATTATAAACTCAGGAGTCCTCTGTGAAGACGTGGTAGTTTAAAGCTGTGGGAATAAAGGAAGTCACTTAAGAGAGTTTAGAAGAGAGGTCCTAGGTACTTACTTGCGGGTCACCAGCCTGAGAGAAGCAGCCGCCACATGGTAGGAACACACGAGGGCAAGGCTGTGATCTACAGCTCAAGGGAGAGTTTCTATAGGACGGAGGGATTAACAGCCTGGAATGCTACTGCAGTTTGAACAACATGAAAAGGAATGAACTGGATTCAGCAAAGTGGAAACCATTGTTGAGACCTGTGGGTAGAAAAATAGGCACAGAAACCAGGTTGGACTGAGCAGGATGAGTGAAAGTTTTAAAAGACAAACAACAAAAAATGCCCCAAACTGAGCAGATTTCAACCCTTCTTTTTAGGCAGTAGGTAGTGGCTGGAAGGAGAGTTCTAGAAAAAGAGAATGTGCTGGGACTGAGTGCTTGCTGGTAAGAGGGAGATACATTAGTCTTCTGAAAGTCAATTTTAGGACCTGGCTGAGGGACAGTTTAAATATGGAAAAAAGAGAAGAAATAAGCAAAAGCAGTTTGGCAAATTATGATCCCTTGTTTTTGTAAATAAAATATTTATTGGAACATAGCTATGCCCATTCATTTAAGTGGTTAAGAGTTCGGCTGCTAACCAAAAGGTCGGCAGTTCAAATCCACAAACCCCTCCTTGGAAACCCTATAGGGTCAGTATGAGTCGGAATCGACTCTACAGCAACAGGTTTGGGTTTCTTTTCTCTTGGCTCTAGTGTACCTGGGTGGTGCATTTAATGTACTCAGCTGCTAACTAAAACGTTGGAGGTTCAAGTCCATGCAGAGGTGCCTTGGAAGAAAGGCCTGGTGATCTACTTCCAAAAAAAATAGTCATTACTGCTCTGACCAGGATCACAACAGAGGGTTCTGGACACACCTGGAGAAGGATGTAGAGCATAATTCTAACTCACAAAAAAAAGGCCAGATTTACTGGCCTAAAGGAGACTGGAGAAACCTCGATAGTATGGCCCCCAGACACCCTTTCAGCTCAGTGGTGAAGCTACCTCCGAGGTTCACTGTTCAGCCTGGGAGTGGACAGC